TTTGAAGAAGTGCAAGTTTATTAGACTTTTCTGAGTACGGCATGTTTTTCTCACCAGATCTTGAAATCTGTCTTAAGAACAAACATATTTCAGTATGTACAGCTTTTTTGTTTATCTTTTCATAAAGTCTCTCACCTGGGCTTGACCTGCAGTATATGTGGCACCTACTGGGGTAGAATTCCTTAGGAGAAGAGAGAAAGAATGAAAACATTTCAAAATAGCTGTTAAAAATTGGAGATTTACTTCCATGGAATTTTCTCCTGAGGAAGGATGGAGGGAAGGGAAGGTGTGGGAAGGGAAGGGAAGGGAAGGGAAGGGAAGGGAAGGGAAGGGAAGGGAGAAGGAAAAAGGAAAAAGGAAAAAGGAAAAAGAAAAAGGAAAGGAAAAAGGAAAAGGAAAAAGGAAAAGGAAAAGCTTTTATTAAAATGGTCTTCCCATAGTACCCTGATGAAACACTGGCTGTGATCAGAGCTATAATGAGTATCTAGTCCTTAGTCAACTTAATTGTTACACATGCAGACTAGACTGCATACAGTAAGGAAAATGCTATCTAAAATCTGCTTTAAAAGTTATTTAACCAGAACAAATTATCTGGGAAAGTAAAAATATTTCTAACTGGAAAAATATTTCTCTATAGCTGAGCTAGGCCTGACAGCAAACTTTAATGAATTATTAGTACCTTTATTGTTTTCTTTGGCCCCTGTGCACTATATTTGTAAAAAAAGTCAGTAAAAAAGAGAACAATTGTAAAAAGCAAATATTTTGTACAAAAATACAAAGTTTTAAAAGCTCTTAAAAGTATATTCCATATTATTGATAAGAGTTGGACTATATATATATATTTATATAAAATCTATATATTCGTGTATCTGTATAATTTTCCTACATTTGGGATTGTAGCAAATGAAGCAACTGTTTACACAGTTGCTTTATATGTTTTTCTATATGGGTGACCAACAGTCTTACTCAGATTGATAGAATGTCTTTTCTCAGAAGACACAAGCTGCTTATGGATGTGGTTACTGGTTGGGAAGAAAATCTAAAACAGAATTAGTCCAACAGTATTTCCTGATGCTGAGGGTTGAAAGGCCTTAAATAATTACAGGATGCTGGAGAAGAGTTACTGCTAAATTCCTTGATGCTTTTAATTCAGTTTCAGTGCTTGCTTTTTTCTGTTTTCATATTTTTTTCAATTTTGGGAATCAGTGTTGCTCCTTCCCAGGATTTTCTTCTTCTTCATGTAAATTTCCTTAATATGAAGGTATCTGTAAAGTCACAGCCTATTAAACTCCAAGAATTTGCCCTAAAGTATGAGAGGAAAAAAAAAAGAGAAAAACAAATCCTGTAAAAGTCTGTGAAGATTAAATAAATTTCCAAAAAGAAATTACAGAAATAAAGGTACGTAAAAAATTTGAGCAGCCTCATATTCAGATCCTGCAACTCCTGGATGATAAATATTTGTAAACTTTTCAATTTGTAAAGCCTTAAAGTTTTCTTAAAATAACAAATGTATGTAGGAAAACCAGGGTAAATCATACTGTTACTTATACATGGTCCTTCACTCTGGACATCCAAACAGAATTATACACACAAAGCTTGCTCAGCACTTAGTTTTGTCTTAGGGGACTGTGGATGGGATGTAATTTTGGCTCTAGCTTACATTTATGTCTGCCTTGACTGAAATTCAACCGACAAGTTTCCAACTGGAGGAGCCAGGCACCCTTGGCAAAGCAATGTTTAAACAGGTTGTATGGAGGAGATAACATTTCAGGCAGAGTCCCACCATGAACACAAACACCGGCTTTGACCACGTTCTGTGACGGTGGGGCTGGGCTCTAAGCAGCCATGGGAACCACCTGCCCTCTGCTCCTGCAGAAATGCCTGTGTCAACAGAAAGAGATGCCCTGTGGCAAACACCTGGCTGACTGCTGGGCCACACTGGCAGTTTATGAGTCCTACACTCCAGCTGCAACAGATGAGATGTTTATGGCCTATAGACCCAGCTTCTCAATCCCATGGGACATATCCTGGCAGTGATGGGAATTTTAAGATCTCCTTAGCTGTCACCAAGTGCCTCCTATTGCATAAATTTTCAAAATAAAGTCTTTTTGGTTTTTGAAGGCTAGTTCCTGACCCACCCTAAGGCCACCTTTCCCTGTTGTGTGGCCACTGACCCTATAAAGACAGCTTCCAGTGTGGGCAGGATGCCCAAATCATGCTCAAAATTTTAGGCATGTGTAAAGCCTACAGGAAATGGTCAAGATGCTGAGCGTGCCATGGCTACAGCGAGCTGCGAGGCTGCTTTTTCCAAGTGCAATAAATCCAGCATTTGCATCTGCATCGGAGTAGAAGTGATTCCCCCTTTTCCTCAACAAGGCACTGCTGTAATATTTAGCCAAGATCTCACCTCTAGCTGCAGGACATTTACTATGGGCAAGATGAAATAATCAAACCAAGGGGGCCTTGCTTACCTTTGTCCATGTCCTTTTCACAAATGAAATTGTTAACATCTTCACAGTAGAAGTCATTCCAGAGCCCAGCATAGATCAGCCCAGCGCAATCTTCCCCTGGCCCATGCCCGTGACTCCAGTTATCAGGCTGCCCAGTTTTCCAGTTTCTTTCCACAAAAAAGTGATAGATATGATTGCACAACACAGCACACATGGCAGGTTTTCACCACAAGAAATTAACAAAAACATCATGAGATCTGTTCTGAACGGGAAATACACACTGAAACAAACAATACATGACTCTTGCTGCAAATGGAAAACAGATGTATTACAGAGAAGGGAATCTATTTGGCCTCAGGCTGCCAAAACTCAGAGACCTAAATTTAGACCAATGAACTTTATTTTAGTTTCTGAGTGTACATGCACACACAGTGGGAGTGCTCCATGCTCCATGTGCATTGCTTCAAGCCTGCAAAACCTGCACACCACACTCCCACTGGCAGATGGGACTGAGAAGAGCCCATGGGCTCAGAGGTACTGCCAAAATGGCAACAACCTGCCCTTGCTCACTGCAAAGGCACTCAGCCCTCTGACTGCAACAAAGGTGGGCATCTTGGGAGGAACAGCAAAGATCCATATGTTTTAGGTACACGTGCTCAGATGGGAAGGGAATTCTATTGACTTTTAAGAAATGCATGTAGTGTATTTGCACACATCTTTTGAGATCATTAGCTTTGATGGCGAAATTGAGCATAGCAACATTCTCTCACAGCAAACTCTCACAGCGTTTCCTCACCCTGTTTTTGTTTAGCAAGTGAGAAACGCTTCCAAACTCAGGACTTAAAAGCTTCATTTTCCTGAAGAAACAGGTTGTTGAAGGGAGCTTGTGATTACTGGCTGACACAGTCCATGCTCAGCTAAAAAACACGCCTGTCTGACATAGAGCATCCAACCAGGCACCTGGGAGGAGACACAGCTTTCCAGAAGTAATGAAATACTCCAAAAATTTGTAACCAACAGCTCTAAGGTTACAACAGAGCACCTAAAACCATGGTGTAGTGGAAATCTACTAAAAGCAGCACCTTAAGTAGGATCAGTCACAGGGCTGCCATAAAGAGGAAGAAAGATGAAAATGGGAAAGGAGAAAAAGGGGAAAATATTATGGCTCATTTGAAATGAATCTGACTTTTTCCATGTTTTTCATCTAAATGAACACCAATGAGATCACAGCAAATCATTTCGTAACATCTGACTGACTGTGTAGCCTGTTTTTCTGAAGCACAGCATGTTCAGATCTATAAACTTTTTAGTCTGCTCCTCAGTATTAAAAATTTGGGTGGTTGCAATCTGTTCCATTTAGGACAAATTAGGTGTAGCCCTAGGATTCCTGGAAAGCTGCCAATTCAGTTCTCAGCTGGCCAAAGTATAGACGCCCTCATTTCATGCATTTTCCTTATGTTGAATGCTTTCCACTTGGATTTGGGCTTTATCTAAAGACTGGTCATTTTTTATCAGAATGAGTACTCTATTTATAGCCTGTTGTAATGCAAATAAGGAAAATTCAAACCAAAACATTGAAACTGTGCTTTCCATCTCGACTTCGTAATAAAAGTCAGAAGCAAAAGTTTTGGCAAGAAACACTGTGCTGCATAGTTATGTGATTCTTTCATTCAACATTCAGTTCTCTTCCTGGCAAGGAAAGGAATCCTTGTGCATGGAGAAGGAAGAGAGAAAGAACCCCAGCACCCTCAGTAACAAATTAAATTATTGGCATCTACAACCATTTGGATCCATTAGATAATTTCTAGATGCTGCTTTTAAAATTGTCAGCAAGAGTGATAGTATTGCTTTTTATTTACGTACGTGTAAACTGGTAAGGATCCATCCAACCATCTCCATTCATTTTCCTTCTCTGAATCTGTTAGTCCAATCCAGAAGCTGCCTTTCCCAAAAATCTGCCTTTTTATCCATTGCTGTGAAAGAAAGATCTTAGTCCATAACAAGGACAACGGTCTTTGGAGCCAATAAACTACACTGGTTTCATAAGTCTCTTGTTATTAGAATAGGGAGGGCCAGAGAAATTTTTCTAAGCTGAAGATATGTTTCAGGAGTTGGCCTTGAGGACCCCTTGCCCAGACTAGAACCCCTTTCAGTGGTTGCAATGAGGTAGAGAGAGCTAGGCATGAAAATTAGTTTGACATAAAGTCACAGCTAGTATCTTATAGATACAAATTGAAAAAACCCCAGAGTAAGGAATTGTATCTTGACATCCCCACTGCCATGTTGAATAGTATTAAAAGTGTGGTTAGATTAAAGATACTTTTGGGTCACACTAGTCCTAGGCTGCATGTATTAAATCAGATAAATTAAGATTAAATTATATTCACTGCTGCAAAAATTACTTTGATAGTACTCAAGGCATAATGGATTGCATCTTTAAAGGTTCAAAACTCCTACAATTCTCAGCAGCTTTTATGACTGCTCTGTCCCCACCACCTTCAGGGTCATCATCAGTTCTGCACAGGGAGAAGCTACTGATCAGGCAGAGGGTGGACAAAATTCGAATGATTCAATCAGTGTGTTTCCATCTACTATATGAATTTATGGTGCTCTCAGCTTCCCACTATTGTGTGGTTTCTACATGAAGTTAAACAACTTCAAACTCCCTCCTTGAAAAACAGCAAGAGGAGGCAATTACCTGCTCCTCTTTGTTATCGATGATAACCAAGCGCGATGCTTTCTCTTCACAAAATAACTTCGCCTCTGCAAAAATTTCTCTTTCAATTGAAAAGTAGTAGCACTTTTCCGTATAGTTCTTCCAGTGAGGAGAACAACCTATGGCATGAATTTTTTTGTGTTAAGCCTGTTACTGGTAACTTAACAGAGCAGTAATAGGGCCAGTAATAAATGGAGGAACCCATACCCATCTACAGCATGCAGTGTGTTGATGGCTTACCATTAGCCTCGGGTATGGGTGTAGGTTCACTCCGTAGTGCCATTGGCGTCTCTGGACCTGGTGGCCCTGGTGGGCCAGGTGGGCCCTTTGGACCGGGCAGCCCAGGGACTCCAGGTAGTCCAGTTAGTCCTCGTGGTCCTGGTAACCCTGGGCTTCCCACAGTTCCTTGCAGGCCTTGAAATCCTGGTGGGCCTTGAGGCCCTGGTGGACCATCCTTGCCTGGTGGCCCTGGTGGCCCTGGGTCTCCATTTGGTCCAGGCAGACCTGTCTTGCCAGGAGAACCTCTCTGACCTTTGGAGCCAGGCGATCCTCTTGAACCTTTCCCTCCTTTTTCTCCTGGTGGTCCGGCTGGCCCAGGTGGGCCCTTCTCACCTGCAGGTCCTGGTGGTCCAGGCTCTCCTTTCTCTCCTTTTTGTCCTTTTAGGCCAGCAGGGCCAAGAGGACCTTGAGGGCCTCTGTCACCTTTAGGTCCCCTTGGACCGGGAGGACCTGAAACAATGTAAGCATGCAAAGTGGGGATATGCACAGAAAACAAAACAAAAAGCCCACGTGGGGTGGGCTTGTTCAATACCCATCAGACCAGTGCCACTGGATATTTAACAACACAGAAACTGGGCTAAGAGCTGCTTTCATCAGTGCTTGTAATAGTGCAGCTGCTTTCCAGGTCCTATATACTGTTCTTTCCTTGACCTCCACAAAATACAGGATACAGAAAATACTCTGACACACACAGTCATGTGAACTGGACAGTGACACCGTGCCCCAGGTGACCAGCCAAGATGCCTGTCCCTGCAAAACTCTGTGCTCTAGTGTGTACTAGTTTATGCACTAGTCCTGTGTGTTGGTGGTCCCATTCCTTCACTCTGCCAAGCTCCCTTCTCCTTCTAGTCTCATCTCTCTGCTCTTAGACCCAGGACTTTTTCTCCTGATCCTGTTTGTTGGTCTGTCAATAATGGGGTGTCAAAAAGAGACAAAACGATGGACAGCTAGCAAAAGGCTAGCAATGGGAAAGACCAGCTCTAACAAGATAGGGAACAATAACCCATGACAGGAAATGGCAATACTGTGACAGCAATAAACAGCAAAACAATTTGGGATTCTGTTCATGGATGAGCAAATCCCTTGTCAATACCTCCCCACCCCCAGTACCAATCTACATAATTCAAACTCCTCCAGAGATAGATTTCCAAGCTGGAATAATTTAGGCCTGGTTGAAATGAGAACGGTTAAGGTTACTGACATATAATCTTGGCTCTATTGCAGCCTTAGTTTATTTGAAGCAATGGATTTATATTTGTGATTAGAGTTTTAGACTGGTTCACATGTGATTGGAAATATGAGTTTTCTTTTCATCTGGGATAATATTTGGCTGAGAGAAACCTCCTAAACCTGATGCTATTTATTTCTGGAGAAAATAAAATATCCCAGGATTAAAAACTAAGCAAAGTAGGATGTTTTCTGGCAGGCTAACAACTGGCTTAAAGTGAAATAGCAACTTGTTTTTCAGTAAGGGTGGACCTTTCTGGGAATAGTCCAACATATATTTTTAAGCCATTTCCTCCTTACTGGGGATTGGTTTCTTGAGGTTCCACACCTTCACTCACTTATTTTAGAAACTAAATCAAAAGCAGATCCAGTCAGTCAGTCAGTAAGACAGAATAAAATTTTGCTAAGTCAGAACCTTCTTTCACAACATCCTCATTTTAGCTATGTAAAAAAGGCATAGAAAAATTAGTACAGAAAATTCAAGCTACATGTACATTTCCAAACTTTAGGATTAGATAATGGAAAACACCAGGACTCTGTACCAGCATGCACTCACTATCTTCCACAGAACTAAAGAAGTAATGCAAGCAGGAATTCAGCACACAATCATTAAGGAAGCTGCATACCTTGTAGGATAGTGAAGTTCTTGATGAGCTGGCCATGTTTGGAATCCACCAGCTTCATTTCTTCCATGATTACTGACAAATTGGCAACTTCAACATCTAACCTTGACCTCATCAAATCCTGTTGCACTTTGAGAGATGCAGAGTCTATGCGAATATTGGCTAGCGTGCTGTTCATAAAAATCAGCTCATCTGAGTGTTTACTTAAGGTGTCTGTACAAGTTGTCCTGACCTCATTGAGATCGCCCGACAGTGTCCGTAGGTGATGAGCAGTGTAGCTGATGTTGTTGATGATATTGACTATATCTGTTTCAAAGACCTGGAACCTTTCTTCTAGATGGCTGAATCTGGCAGCAGTTCTGTTTTCATCTCCTTTATGCTGTTCCTGGAGATCCTTTAGACTTTGTTCGTTGGCTTGGGCAATTGTGGTGATGTTCTCCATCTGCCCACTGAAGGAGCTGAGCTGATTGTTCATGTCTTCAAGTGTATCATTATTGGCTTTTGCCATTGCTGAGTTGTTGGCAGCCAAAGCCTGTAAATTGTGTACTTTCTCCTTAAGCCAGTCAGTGTCCTTCCGGGCCTGAAGGACAACCTGCTGCAGATTTTGAAAGTCATTCCTGATTCTTACAATAGCCGAGGTTGTATCTTCCATTGACTTCTGTAAGACACTGATAAGATTTCTTTGCTGTATTTGAGTCAGGTTTAAGTTGTTCAGGCTCATGATGAGCACATTATGAGAATGCTCTTGGCTTTGCAGGTTTGTTTGTATATTACTTGTGTCTTGTTGAAGATTGTTGATATAGCCAGTATATGCCTGAAGAGTCTTATTGACACTGATGATCATGAAAGAGTTACTATCTAAGGCACTTTTCATTTGGTTCTGTCTATCATCTAGCACATTTCCAGACTCTTGCAGCTTCTCCAGTGTGTCTTTGTTTCTGGTAGTTTTCTCTGCAATGTCATGAAGTTGCTGACGAAGAGCCAGAATGTCAGATCTGAAGCTGGACAGTTCAGTGTTAGTATTCAAGGCTTTTTGTCCGGCTTGGTCATCTGTTGTAGATGAAAAAAAATAAAAATGGAAATGCTTTAGGGTTTTTATAAACACAGTCTAAAACACCATACTGTATTTTAAGAATAGTCCGGCTGTCAAACTGTTCGGTAGAACTTTTATGCTATCTTTTCCAGCAAAAAGAAACCACTAAGCAAAGTTCTGTCTCTAGACAGAGAAAAAAAGCAGAGGAATTGATGGAGACCTTGTGTCTTGCTGAGGAGAACAAAACGGTGATTCTGTCATCACAAATAGGAAAAACTATGGCTAAAAACTGATGAGTATATACAGTCAAGAATGCTGTGTTCTGAATGAAAACCAAATGGGAAACAGAATTCAAAATATTAAACAGGTATCAGCAAGTGTAGGTTTTGAAGTTACAACTGGATTTTGCTGAAAGCTCAGAAGTTTATTTTATCTGTTCATGTTTTCTTCTTCCTTTTCATTACAAGTGAAATACCTTCATTGTGATTTAGTACATACAGTTCAAATTTTTAAAATCTTGAGTTTAGTTTTAAGTAAGTTCTCATACTTACTTTAAAGCAATCTGGGTTAGAGACAAAAGCTTTGCCACCAGGTTATTTCAGATATGTCAGGATAAGATATATTTCTGGTTTTCTCTCTAACACATTACTATCGCTTTTAATGACATTTATTTTGCCTTTATTATTTCCTCATGTTCTGAGTTTGAGGAAGGCAAAACCTCAAATCTTTGAGGAACATCTCTGCTTGTGCTTACATTGCCCTATGGAATACTTTTGGAAGCTTGTTCAAGTATGATAAAGCATTTGAGATTGCACAGCCTAACATCCAGGACATAGAAACCAAGGAAATAAGCAGTCAACACTTGCCTTCAGGGAAGACTCCCTTGCTTGACCTCAATCACTTCACTATCCTGCTCACAGTCCATATATTTTTGTCCTCATCTAAGTGTAGCTATATTTATGAATTAGACAGTCTGAAGTCCATAATTTCAGATGATGCCAAGAGAGAGCAGTATGGTTTTCATAAATTACAGTGAATACAGCTGTGTATGGTGCTTTTGTCTGGTGTGATTGAATGAGTCATGATGGCAAATGTCAAATGATGGCTTGTGAGACCACAGCCTGAAGTGTTTATGGAGTCTTTTGCGGATGGACATTTTCCTGAGCACAGTTCCTCTCCCTGCTGCTTCTCTCACTCCCAGATCTTCTCAGTTCTGACTCTGTGTTTACTTCTTGGCTATAGCTCAAATTATACTGTGTTCCTCACACAGCTCTGACAACTGCCAGGTCCACATAGAGATAATCCCTGAAGGCCTGTCTTCCATTCACCACCTGCTTTTATCTTTCCTGGCTCTACAGCACTTCTCTTACTTTTATGTCCCCTACTCAAACTGCTCGAGAACATTCCTAACTTCCTCCAAGGCAAGTCCACTTAAATGAGAACTGAATATCCTGAGCATCTCACTGGGCACCCATCCAGCAGCATGTAAAAATGTATGGGCATGAAAAAAGCAGAAGTGCTCCAAGTTGTGAAAATTTAATCAGCATAATATAATAACCCAAATAGAATCCAAAAGGCTGCACGAGCTTTAAAGTATAGCATTTACTTCTGTAGATATGTCAGTAAAAGAACATGTCACTGAATTACCCCTCATCTTTGAACTAAATGCAATGTGTAAATACTTTAGAAGCCAGCTCCTTTTTGAGGGAAAAAAGTTGTAAAAATTTATAATCAAGCTGAAAGCAAGGAAGTTTTCCTAGAAATACATGTCTCAATATATGGTTTACAAAACTAGACAAAATTTATTTCAAGAATCACATGCATGTATGTGTATATTAATACTTCTATACTAAAAACTATATGTCTATGTATAGGAAGAAAAGTAAAAAGGTACACTTAGAGAGAAGAATCTTTATCCATGATTTTTTTTTACATCTTCCTGAAAATTGAAAACTTTGATAGCACTTGGGATAGACCCAAACAGATAACAATCTTATGTCCTGTATTTCCTTAGATGATCAAGAAATAATTTATGGAAGTAATACACTTGCCTCAGACATAAGAATTTTGAATAGCTGCTTATTTGTGTACCTCATAAAATGGCCTTCAGTTTTGAATCTTAATTGCTAAAACAGTGTCAAGATAACTGGGTGACAGGTGCTCATTTTATGTAGAATCTTTGTGCTGTAGAACAGCTTCTGCTAATGTTTTATATCTCTACCTCAGAGAAGATTCTCTCCTGAGGACATTTAAGTGTCTCTTTATTTAAGTATAAATGCTTTCAGAGTGACTTCTGTGGGAAGTATTCTTAGAAAGTTCTTCTAAGTAGAGCTGATCTGAACTATTTTAAAGTATTTTCCCATGTACTTGAGGAACTGGAATGGAAGTACTGTATCTTGTCATAGGGAGAGATTTTTCAGACAAATTTCCTGCCTCAATCTGCCAGGAGAACACCCCAGGTCCATAATACAAAGGGATTTTGCTTGTGTGTAGATTACCTAATTTCTTCAGATCACTCTCCACTTCTGTAAGCTTTTCTGTGTATCTTCTGTGGGATGTTTCCAGGCCACCTGTCACATTGTCCATTTTTTCTACAACTAGGGGAGAGAGAACAGTATGTTATGGAAAGAAGAAAAGGGAAATTATGAAAAAAGACTAGTAGACAATAAAGCAAACAAAACCCCACCCCACTACCAGCAAACAGTAAAAAAATAGAACACCTTAAAATTGCCTTGCTTGCCATTACACTCTGCTGTTGCTCTGTGAAATGTTGGAAGCATGAGATCCTATGTGCAGGTGGACCCAGAATTCTTCTACTTCTTCAGTCCGCCAGCAGTCCTTAAACATTTTTTTTTGCCCATGAGCAATCTCTCTCCTGAATGAGGAAATCCCTCTTTGTGGGTTTTCCTCACAAACAAAGCCCTTTTCTTTTAACAGTATTTCCATGCTTCAAGGACAGTGCTGTGTGGCAAAGGAGAACTGATTGTGTGAAAGAAGACTTCCTTTAATTTTGCTATGAGCCACTTCTCCTTAAAAAGAAATTTTTTTTCTCGTGCCTTTCCATCATTAAAAGTTGCTACCTGGATAGCAAATTTAGGACTGAGACAGTAGCTACTACATATTTCAGGGGGTTTAAACATATTTAAAATGGTACAGATCACACAAAACAGTCTTGAAATGATTCTGCCTCATTAAGATTGAAAGGATGGTCATTCAGGAAGTGCAGATTTATGACTGATGTGCCTTTTGTTTTGCAACGCCTGAGTACTTTTCTTGTCACTGAGACATTCAATTATTTGATGAGATTAATATGGAAATGGAAAAAGCAGAGCAACAGATAAACAGCCTGAGTTGTCTTCCAGTGGCAAAAATGTGAAACACTTGCAAGGTTAGAGGTAGCCTACAGCTTTCACATAAAACTTTGTCTAATAGCCTTTTGCATTCAAGCCACAACCAGGGGTAGAAATTGTTTCTCATCATGAGATTATTTAGATTATTTTGCTGCACTGGGAGCAGAATGGGTCTGTAACAATCCTGGGAGGGGCTACACAAGTTATTATGCCAGCTCCTTTCAAACAGAAGAAATAAAATGTTTCCCATGTTTTGAGGTTCTGTAAACCTGTGTGGAGTAGGGGTACCTCTAATTCTTTCTGTTTGTGGAATGGTCTGCAGCTAGGAAAGAGTTTCATAAAAAATGTTGCTATGTAAAGATTTGGGTTTTCACAAGAAGTGAAATTTAGGGATGTTTTGCTGCTCATGAGTGACTACATGAATCCCACACCTTTAAAGTGTAGTCTATCAGGTGCTCCTTCTTCATTAACTTTTGCATTTGTTTTTCTGATTCCGGGTATCACAGTTACACAGGAGGCTTTTACCTCCTTGCATCCCCAAAACCAACATGAGAAAAACAGACCAAGACTATCTGATGCAACAGCACTGAGGAGTTACAACAGAGAAAAAGTTTCAGGGTCTTCAGAGAGACCATACACCCTTTGGTGAATTGTCTGCCTGCTCCTTTCTAGGCTGCAAACAAGCCAGCAAAAAAGAGACTCTACTGTGTGTGCAGTCAGTCAGAGTGTGGCTTTCTGTATTTGAGATGATGACAGATTGCTTGCTAAACACCAGACCCAGGCTACAATAATGGCTTTGCTTTTTCAGAGGGACAGTTGCTCAATAACTTCTGCTTTAGAAAGCATTTTTCTCCCCATTATAACACTAATTTTTCACTGGTTCTTTTGCCCATTAAAGTTGCCAAAATGCTACATGCCATTTTTCCTAAATGAAGACAGAGTTGATTCTCTGTTTGTCCTGCCCTGCTGTCTTCCAGGCTGGAGCCCAGAAGAGCAAAGGTCCTTCAGCTACTTCTGACACTCCGCTGGTATCTGTATAAACCTATGCATCACATGCAGTGACACTGAGGACTTGGCTTTTCCTTCCGGCTCTAGGCACCTCCTTATTCAGTCTGTTTTGTCTACAGATAGTCACTGCCAGGGCATGGCTCACTCTGGGCACTTAGAAGGACCTCATGAAATCATCTGTGTTTAAAAAACAGGCCTAATTCAAGTGTTTCTGCTGAACCAGTGCCTTGACTAGCACTGTCACATCACCTATGGCTCTTGTTAATTCAGATTTAATGTAATATTTAACTGTTTTCCCCAGTTAGACAACACACTTGGAATTTGAAAATTAATATATATTATCAGCAATTAAAAGAAAAATGTAATTTCTTCATTTTGCTGTCCAAATGAATGCAGTTTGTACTTCAGATCTGAAGTCTGTAAAACTAAACAATCATATAACAAGTATGTTTTCATGGTTGAATGAAATCTAACACTGGAAGCTTGAGTTAAAATATAACCCTGAAGAGTCCAAGGCAAATGAGAACAGTAGTAATCCTATCAATAAGTAGTAGTCTGGCAGTTAAATGAGACTAAAAAGAAGTAATTATACAACAGCATATGGTATTTTCGTTGTTCAAAGTGAAAAAAAACTCCCAAACCACCCAACTCCAGCAGCAGAAACAGAAGAGGTCTCTGCAAACAAGACTGCAGGATTAGCTCTAGGGCTAAGCTGCCATCCCATAGATAAACCAATGCAAGTATTTGCTTTATACTGGGATGGGATCTTAGCCTCCTTGCACATACATATAAAGTATGTGCAAAAATTACAGATTGCTTTATTAGTGTTTTAAAGAATAATTTGTCTTCTCAAAGCAGAATACTAAACTTGACTTGTTATTCCTTCATGTTTTGTTTCCCTGTTATTCATTCATGTTTTGGTTTCGGGTTTCACAAACATACTATGTAATTTCTACCACTAGTTTGGAGGTTTGTTCTGTGTTGACTTTGCCTCCCATTGAGTTACTTTTTTGCTTGCCATATTTAATTCACTGATTACTAGTTTTAATGTTTTAAATCACAAAGGATATTTAAATGCGAAGTAGGAAATTAAAGTTTTAAAAGTAGTTTTGGGCTTTATAAACATAAGTGTGGGAGGCAAATTTAATGGAAACTTAGCTAAGAGACTGAAAGAATCCCTGATGCCAGCAGAATTCCTTCTTTCACTGTAATATTGCAGTAAAAAAGACAAGCCAAATTCTGATACAGAGAGGCGAGTTCAAGAACTCTATACTTGTATTCTGAGTTTTGTTCTCCCTTTTAGGCCTGATCCTTTCTCAAGAATCAAAACTATTGCAGTAATTTATTTGAATATGTACTGTCAGCTGGAGTTTTATCTAATTTATGTTTTCCCTGCAAATCAGCACGTGGGTACCTTGAAGACATGGCACTTAAACTGCAGGTACAAAGGGCAGAATTAATACCTGACATATGAACATTTACTGCATTTACATTTACATTAACATTGGTGTTACAGAAGGAATATCTTCTTATAATTCAACAAGACTTTTGTCTCTTTGCCTCTTTTCCTTGGCATCCAAATGTTGCAGTCACCAAGCTGGTGAGCAGTGGAGCAGTGATCACCAAAATGTCTTAGGGTCTGCAAGCAAGATATGCATTATCCACCTTCGTACAATCCCTTTTACATTTATTTGTGAAAGAGGGAATTCTTTTGTTCTTGTCCTGGATAGCTGTGATTTTGTACTGCTATGACAGAAAGACTCATCCCTAGTGAATGACTGCTCATTTTAAGAATGAAGTTTAGAAATGACTGGAGCAAAGTTTGAGCCTCAAGAAGAAAGCAAAGCCTGGGGAAAAGATGGTGCTAGGGGCTCCTATAGAGAAAGAAGCTTGAAAATTAGATTGAAATGAGGAAGACAAACTCCTCAAAAAGTCTTCTGGACAGATTCCTTATTGCTACTGCTTCCTCCACTCATGTAATCATTTGCCAAAGCAAGATAAAGAGCAGTAGTCTCTCAAACAGATATTCTGCATCTGATGCTGAGTGAGGGCTGAGTCTTTTGGGAAGCCCCAGAACTGACAGCCTTACATAAAACTCTTGAGGGAAATTCTGCTAAATCCCAGTCATTTAGTGGCTGGGTTAAGTCTGGGAAGATCCCATTCTCATCTGATGTAAGCAGATCTCTGTAGATTTATATCTGCAAAAGGCTTCCCCTAATCCATGTGACCAAATGATCTTATATTTATAGATCAAGAATAAGTTTTTGAATCCTGGAAGGTTTTTTGTCCCTCAAAATCTGACTTCCAGAGACCAGTTAATTCAGGAGATGTATTCACATACATGTACTGCATTTTTTTTTTCATTTGATGTAAATTTGCCACTTTCTGTCTTCTTTATCATAAAACAGGATTACCTAAATCTCTCTATCTATTCCTCATGTTCTCTCTTCTCCCTGGATAAATCTTCCATCTAAACCAAATAGCTTTAATTTTCTCCCACTCAAAACTGTGCCAAATCCTCTTAAATAATTATTTATCCTTTCTATTTCTACAATTTCCTTTTCTTTCCCTGGCAAAGGACCAGAGGTGATGTCAGCTGTGCTATGAGCGCAGCCGTTGGCAGCACAGGATGCACTGCATGCTAATCACATGAATATTTACCTAGCTTCTTGGAGGGGCTCTGAAGCTACTCTCAGAGCCATACTCAGACAGGTAGTTTAGAGCTAGTTTGGTTTTCTCTGCAACAAGCTGTGAAGCCCTGTTATAATGCTCACAGTGATGTTGTTTGCGTTCCTTTTCACACAAGAAATTCACATTCATTTACGTATTATACCTGTAACTGCACAATAAGCAGGTATTTATATCAAAACAGTTCTATAAATGCCTAAGTGGCTATAGTTAATTTGTGATAAAGATTTATGGGAATTTTTAGCCATGTTTCCCAATGTGCCCAACCAATAACTTCCACAATGAAATTCTCTCCATTACTGGGTTGCTCAACTACCAGAATCTTTGAAATTACTGTTAAAAATGTCTAAATGTCTTGTTCATCACAATTATTGTGGATTGTCAATACACTGGCACCTCCTGTTTTTTCTTCTTCCAGATATTTCAAAGTAATATTGATACTACATTTTGTTCCTGTGATAAATATTATATTAGTAAGATATTCCTGGCTGTTGCACATGTTACATAGCTTTGCATCTTCCAGTACTCCTTCTGGGTGGAGGAATGATCATTTTGTTTTAACTTTCCTTTCAAATGTCTAATCTAGTTTCAAAATTTCAAAATTATTTGAAAGTGAAATTCTACGGCTGTAGTTCGTTATGTATGTACAAAAAGCCAACATTGCCCATTGATATTTAGGCTAAAACAAATTGGCTAGTGATGTGTTTGGACTCCTGTCTGAAAGTAAAATGTTGGTCTCAATGCATACATACCTTTGTATCCCAGAATGGCTACTGTGATTGTTAACAAGGCACATAAAATGTATAATAAGATGATGGAGAACTTCAGTGCCCAGTTATTTTTACACTTGGTACATTGGCTCCCCTCCTGAATACCTGCAACAGAAGATAAAAAGAAATTTAAAACAATGGCAAAGAACACATTGCTGGGTTTGTCTCCCCATTTCCTTTCCTCTGTTTTCTAAAGAGCAAATTATTTATCTAAGCAGATTATGTTTACGTATGGGGTGCCTATTTGCCTATGCTGCCAGGATAAAACATCATGGTGGTTAAAATATCCGCTCAGTCAAACAACTACTTTGGGATTTTAGCATGTGTAAGAGAAATAGGTTCTGCTTCACTGGAAAACCTGTGGCTTTCCTGAGAGATGGCTATTTTCTGATTGTGCTAACAAGACTGGTGAGCTTTGGACATAAAACCTTTATTAGCATCTCCTGGCAGAGGAGATGCATCACACTGCAGCAGCTCTTTCTTAGCATTTGGTATCCCTGTGGGGGCAATAAGACACAACAAATGTTCTGGCAGAAAAAAATCCACAGAAATAAGAGAGCATTGTGAAAACCTGGTAGGAGTAGTTCTGCTTTGTAACAATCACCACAGATAGTTGCCATGCAAACACTTTCTTTCCACAATGAGAGACACTTTTTGCATATTTTTGGGGGGCTTTGGAGAACATTATTTCCACAGAAAAGAAGGGGTGCTTTACTGACACGGCCATCCTTACATCCACAGAAAAAATGCTGGTGAATTTCTCTTTGTGGACAAGTTTAAGAAAAACACCCTCAAACTGATGAAAGAAAACAGAGCTTTACTATTCTATACTCAAACTTTTTTGCAGAACGTCTTGATATCTTTGAGTCAACTTTCTTCTTTTGTGCTCCCTGGGAATAGCTCAAGAGCTTTGGAAGAATAGATTATTAATCAGAAGCACAAATGTGTAAAAACCTGAAAACTGGACTGATGTGCTGGAAGAAATAGGCGGGATTTATCCATTTTTGTAATGTGTGTTAAGCAGGCCAGGATTAATATAACTTTCTGTGTCTGTCAGAAAATGCATTTCTTTGATATTTCACTCTATTTGTGTACTATTAGGGGAGTCCCACAGGAAAGCTTTAAGCTCTAATAAATTCTATGTACCAGATTACTTAACTAATCAAAACTTGCTCTGTAGCTTTTTATGAGTAACTTATATTTCCCCTGTGGCCTAATGCACAGATGATTTTACTTTTCCAAACTCATGACCTTCTGCAGAGTGTTTTTTGTTTTTCATTTTTTTTAAGAGAAAAGCACAGGCCGCTTTCCCTAGGTTCAAGGAGGATGGGTGGCCAACATAATGAGTTAAGTCAACTGCATTTCTCTCTCCAATGACATTTTCCAATGACTTCCTTTAAACCTAAGGTACTTGAAGAAGGAAGGATTACCATATTGGAATGACTGAGGAAGAGGATTTATACAAAGTTTATGTGACAAAGCATTTTCTTCAATCCTCTCTGCACATATACTCACTGTGGCTAAGGCAGAAATGTATCTTTTGCAGGTCTTCTCCACATTACATCATCACATGTTTTTTCTAAATTTTTAGGTGTGACATCACATTCTGTTGCCATGTGATGAAAGTGATGTCATAGATTTGGGTTCCTTGTGGTTTAGGCATAAGACAAGCTGGCAACATCTGGTTCTTTTTTCAAGAACATTATGGGAAAATGAGACAAAGGCTTGTAAGCATAAACTCAAGAACAGAAATTCCAGAGGGTAAAGGCTTCTCTTCTGCCTGTGAGGTGGGAAGGGAGGGAGCTGGCACAGAGACAGGCAGTTGCATAGCCCATTTACTGGTGACATGGATTTGCAAGGGTGGTAACTCCTGCACCACAAAAGAAAAAGTGAAGGATCCATAATTCAGTAGTCAGGTTAGCTTATGGATCCTGATGGATGGGCTGGCTTGCTTTCTTTGCTTTACAGTCTCATGGAGTTTGCTGGTGAGGAAGCTCTAATTGCTGAAAAAGCAGGAAAGGGAAAGTGCAGTTTTCTAAAGGTTTGCAATAGGTATTCAGAGACTGAAATGATTTCACAGTAGGAACTTGGTGGTGCCTAGAGCACCATTTTGCTGGTCTTAGCTGGTGCTAGTGGGCTCATTGAGCCCCTGTGCCCTAAAGGCAAGGCTCCTTTGCTGAAGGGTTTAAAATTCAGATTCCAATTTGGTTGTCTTTGAAAGTCTCACATATCCAAAAACAAGCTCGGGGCAAAACTCACATCATATTCACTTTCTACATACACAGATAAACAGAAAGCTTGATCCTTCTTATTTTAATGTTAATTGAAGCAGGCCTAGATCCTTATCTGGGAAGAATGATGGACTGCAGAGGTACAAAACACAGAGAAAGGCAGAAGTAAAAACAAAGCCTTTGGCAGCAATTGCACAATGAAAAGTTTCACTTGATAACTGTCTCATATTAAGATTACTCATTTTATGACATGACCTGCTTTCTGTCACTGTACTCCAGCTTCCTGGGTAGTGTAACGAGCTGAAACTTCATCAATGTCACTGGATGTATTGCAGTTCAGCATCAAGCATCATGTCTGTCCCAGTGCTTCACAGGGATCTATTTTCACTTGTCTCAACCCTCTCTACCTCTGCTTCAATTAAACAGCACTTCAACTTTTCGGAACTTTTTTAGTTTCAGTGTACTTCAAACTGACATCAGAACAGCACCCCAACAAAATCCAGGCCTTTCCATCCTTTAACAGTCCAGCACAGTTGGTATCAATAACACAGGCACATCATACTAAAACCATCATACAGGCTGGAGTGATTCCATTAACTAACTGGCCTGGAACTGTGTATTGCATTCCTTACTGGCGCTTTCTGCCTGTCAGCCTAAAATTACATCTGACTGCCAATGAACTCCTGCTACCCTCATCTAACATGACCTGGGTCCAGGGCTGGAGTGAAAAACCAGGGAGCTCTAATAGGCTCCTTTGTTTTCTTTTACCTAGGATGCAGTAAAGTCTTTCAGAGAAATTATATCTATTCTTTATTGCAAACACATAGTGCTTAACTCTGCTGCTAGTAACACGTGATTTTCTAGTTTACTAAACATATAAAAACTACTACAGAAATACCAAAGATATAGGTACCCCTTGAAGAAAAGATGTGGAAGACCCATTCTGATGTCTTTCTGAGCAATTAAATATATCAGGCTATAGGCAAAGGCAAAAGCCAGGAATGCAATCCTCTCAGTATAGGAATTAAATACAGTATAACCAGGGCTCCCCAAACTCCCCAGCACACACTCTGACCTCAAGTTGCCCTGTTATTCTTTCCCACTACCTTCCTTAAGGATCATGCCCAAATAAGACTGATCTGATATAGGAGATGCATTTAGTCCATGTTGTGAGGACACATTTTTATTCAAAGCTTCTTCTGAAATGATGTGATAGCCAAAATATTAGGCAACAACAAATGGAACACAATTAAAAATGGTTACTGTGATTACACAAAATCATGCAGGTTTACCACAAAAGCTGTGAGTTGAGGTTCAAAAGAGCCCATGCTCGGGCTTTAATTTGGCAGAATTTCTCCAATTTTATCCACTAGACTGCTTGCTGTTATGACTGACATAAAGTTCAGAATTCTTCCAAGAGATGTATCACATCTCATCTAGAAAGCTCTAGACTAAATGGAAAGACCCTACACACATATCCCATTGACAGAACAAATGTAAAACCTGTAAAAGGGCGTTCTTGGCTGAAGCCAGCTCTTCTCCATTTGTTAGTGATGCTCCTAGTGCAGCACACTTCTCCCTGTGTCCTGTACACGTGTTTTCAATGTTGGTCTGCTCCCAGACATTTGTCACTGACTTCCAAACCCAGGGAGCTGGGGTCACTTCCACATGACGTGCACTTCTCACTGCCAATTTGATCAATATTTAATAAATATCAGATGGGACACAATGTGCCTCATTTCACTGGACACATGCTTTTTTCCATTCCTTTCCCTGACTTATTTTAATAAGAGCTCTGGTTTTTCTGCCTCACTGTTGGGAAGACATCTGGCCAAACAGACAGCAACCTAGTACAAAGAGATCCTGCTGGCTCACATGCTTTGGGGACCCCCTTCTCTGCACACCAAAATGCTCACAAAAAAATATGCAAGTGAGACATCCCCCTGTTACCAGGCTTTGTAGTATTTGTTTTTATAGCATTGCATTCCAGTGACTGAAGACTTTGTTCTCATGCAGGGGGTATACATCTGCAGATTCTTTTTGGGCTCCAAGAAGAGGTTTTGCCGAAGGAGAAGCTGGTTTTTTTGGGGTTTTATTTGTTTGGGGGATTTTTGTTGTTGTTTTGTTCCATGGCTTTAATGGGAGACTAAATATCTTTGCTCTTTGTAACCATCTTACAAAATCCCTGACTCCTCAACTGTATTACACTTCAGGAGCACAGCTTTGAACACTGGAATATGACATAGACACACTTTTTTCTTTCTTTTTTTTTTCTGAATAATTCTCTTACAAGTATTTGCCTCTGTTTTTTTCTTGGCTCTGGCTACAGGATCATAGGTGGCCTCATAGTATTTCTGCTAGCAAATCAATTTTGACAAAGATGCAAGGTTTCCTTCATAACCCTGACAAGAAATAAGAATAAGAATGATAAGATAAAGAAATGTAGTGCAGGAAATGAAAATACATTAGTTTGGAGGGGTTTTTCCCAGTGTGATTCACTGAAAAGAGGTAACATCCTTGAATTTCAGAAGGAAGACTGCAAGCCTAGTTTGCAGCCTTCAAATGACTGTTTTCTCAAAGTTAATGTTTTCAAAACAGCAGTGGATCTAATACCTATATTTAAAGGGACCTGAGCAAACCATATTTAAACATCTAATTCAGGCCTCCTGCCCATAGCAGGGAGGCAGAAACTACATGATATTTGAGTTCCCTTCCAACATGAACAATTCTGTGATTCAATGTGTAACTATAAGTCAAATACTAAGAGGTAATTAACATTGCTGAGTCGCAACAAGCTCCCAGTGATGTCTACCTCACTAGCAAAAGTAGGTGATCCCATGAGGAATCCATCTCTAGGTTTAAATATCAATATGT